AGATGCTGCTGTAGGCAGATTATGCATAATTAAATCAATTCCCCCGCTTTCAGAGTGTTAACATGAATCTTGAATCTGTGAAGCTGAGAAGCAGGTGTTCATCCAGGGTCAACAGTCCAAATGCTACTCGGTCGAGCCACCGGTGCCCTGCTCGCCGGGGCTGGTGGCAGGGCGGACATCCACTGTCAATGTTTCGTGGCAATGGTGGCGGGAGCGTGAGTCAGCAAACTGCCCCGCCGGTCGGGGGCATGGATCGTGGCGCTGGCTCGGGGGTCGGGGGCATGGATCGGGGCGTCGGATCGGGGGTCATGGGCTTGGGTCGGGAGGCCGGGACGGGAATCTGCTGCGGCCCAGCGCGGGACATCTTGCGCTGCGACCGAGCGGGGTCGGGACGTCGCTGCGGCCCAGCGCTGGACATCTTGCGCTGCGGCCGAGCGTGGGGAGCATAGGTGGCCTGTAGTCGGACCGCAAGGTCCATTACCCGCTCCCAGTGCGAATCGCCGCCGGACGACCACGAAATGGCCTCCTCCTCTGGGGACCATGTGGTAGGCGGCGGATGGTGACCCAGATGCCTAGTGAGGGCTCCAGATGGGGAGACGGAGTAGTATAAGTACCCAGCTGGAACCCCCGGGAGGACCGTTCCCCCACTACGGGCAGCCCGCTGGAGACTCCGTGGACCGCCCATTGCCAGACGGGTTCCCCTGAACTCGTCCAAGGGAAAAAACTCTGCTGAGTCCTTTCTTGGTCGCGTCATTCTGTCAGGGTTGAGGGTGGAAGGCAGGACTCAAACGCAGAGTTCAAAAGGAACACAAAGGACTTTAATAGTCAATGGTCAAAACACAGGAACCGGGAGGAAAAAACAGCAGGCAACATGTGTGACGAAAGACAATGACGCGACAAGTGACAAAGGAGACACACTGCTTAAATACACAAGGGAGGTGCAGGTGATTGGACACAGGTGGAAACTATTAGAGGAACACAGGGGATGACGAGACAAGGCAGGAAGTGAAGTTACCCGGGGACACGAGTGGCAGAAAACTACAAAATAAGACAGGAAGTGAACCACACCGTGACAGATTCAACTGTTCATTTAAAGATTTCATTTTATTTTGTATAGCCCATAGTCGCAAATTACAAATTTGCCTCAGAGGGCTTTACAGTCTGTACACATACAACATCCTCTGTCCCGAAACCCACCATCGGCACAGGAAAAACTCCCCAAAAAATGAAAAAACCCTTCCAAGAGGGAAAAAAGGGAAGAAACCTTAGGGAGAACGTCAGAGGAGGGATTCCACTCCCGGGATGGACAGACTACAATGGATGCCATGTGTACAGAATGAACAATGTATAATACATGCAATTCCCATGACAGAAATGATTCAAGTAACTGTGAGTAGTAAGCCAGGCGCACAGCAGGACCACTGTAGGGGCAACCACCATCAGATAGAACCACCATCCACAGAAGCCTGTGGGGAGGGAGAGCACAGAGACTTAAGGAGAGGGTAATGTTGGTTTACGAGTACAGTAATATGATTAATATCAAAAATACTAATGATGATGATGATGCCAGCAGCAGGCGTCAGCAGGGCCACGGCAGGTGTCAGGACCAGGGTCCCGAAGGAACCACGATCTACGAGACCTGCTAGGGGAGAAAGCGCAAAAAAAACTCCCGGAAAGAAGCTGAATTAGTCATGTGCATTAATAAAACGTGAATTATTGTAGAACGAGAGCGTGAGAGAGGAGCATTCTAAGCCTATAGCAGCTTAACTAAGGGCTGGTCCGGGCTAACCTGAGCCAGCCCTAACTATAGGCAGAATCAAAGAGGAAAGTTTTAAGTTTTACTTTAAAAGAGCTGACCGAACCTGCCCCCTGGACTGAAAGTGGAACCTGGTTCCACAAAAGAGGAGCTTGATAACTGAAGGCTCTGGCCCCCAGCCTACTTTTTAAAAACCATAGGAACAACAACTAACCCAGCATCTATGGAGCGCAGCTGCCTTGTAGGGCAATAAGGTGTTACAAGCTCTTTAAGATACAACGGTGCCTCACCAAGTGCCTTGTACGTGAGGAGAAGTACCTTAAAATCGATTCTTGATTTAACAGGGAGCCAGTGCAGAGAAGTTAATACAGGAGTGATATGATCCCTTTTCTTAGTTCTTTTTAATACACGTGCTGCAGCATTCTGAATCAACTGGAGAGGCTTAAGAGATTTACAAGAGCAGCCTGATAACAAAGAATTACAGTAGTCCAGTCTGGAAGTGACAAACGCATGAACTATTTTTTCTGCATCACTTTTAGACAGGAAGTTCCTGATTTTTTATATGTTACGTAGATGAAAAAAGGCAGTCCTTCTTTATATGCAAGTTGAAGGTCATATCCTGGTCGAAGAGAACTCCCAGATTCCTGACGGTGCTGCTGGGTACCAGAGCAATTCCATCCATAAAAACTGTATCACGTGACAGCTGGCTTCGAAGGCGCTCTGGGCCTATCAGGATAACTTACGTTTTTTCTGAGTTTAGCATCAGGAAGTTGCCTGTTATCCAAGTTTTGATGTCTCCAAGACATTCTTGAAGTCTAACTAGCTTTAAACTTTCTTGTAAATGATTTACTAGTTAAAGAATGTCAATAAAGCAAACCGAAGATCACTCGCACCAAGAGGTCGTTTGTCTTTTTTACAAATGTGGAGATAAAACACACAAATACACAAGACACAACCAAAACCAACAGGCACAGCCATTCAAGCTTGTCAATGTTACACTAATTATGTGTCCTTTTAGCAACCCCAAACACTGTTCTACTTTTTCCGCAATCTCTTTATTGACAAACACTTTTCTTACCATTTGTTGGTTTCAAAAGGTTGTAAAACTCTTAAATCAAGAGCAATATGGCTTCTTAAAATCATAAATTTCCAAAAGTAACTAGCCTCTATCTTCGCACTATTTACTTTTCAATGTGAGGAATACACATCTGCAACATCCCATTATAGAAAATTATTACTGTCTGAAATATTTAAGCTCATGAATGAACTTTGGATTAAATGCAATTAACCAACTATCTCAGTGAACACATAGCCAGTACCTTTAGAGTGCCACAGCCTTGCGGCAGCTACAAGTCTAGCTGCTCCTTTCAGTAGTTAAAAGGTCAATGTGGTACTTTTCTTCAAAAGTCCGGTTTTAATAGTCTGTAGTAAAGTTCAATCAAAATGCAGGTCCAATAAGAAAATCCTTTTGTTTT